TGTTTTTAAAGTAGGAGACAGGACCAAAACAGCCACTTTTTACAGGGATGTCTTAGGAATGAAGGTAGAAGAGCTGTCTACTGATCTTATTGTAAAATTATAGTTCTATTATGTAAATAATACAGTGGGAACTTTGCCTCCTAATATTGTTGATAAGCCAGTTAATCACGCTATTACCAGATGCAGGTTGGCACGCGTATTTTCCGTCTATGCTCGGACTCAAAACCTAAATTCATAAACAATAATAAATAATTATAATCTACAGATTCTGCGGCATGAAGAATTTGAGGAGGGCTGCAAAGCAACCTGCAATGGGTTAGTCATACTTTTCTATTTATTTGACTAAAGCTTAGTTACCTGTATAACCTGTATCAAATTCTCAATATTAGCTTACGCATATAACTTGTTTGTTTTCAGTCCATATGATGGAAAATGGAGTAAAACCATGGTGGGCTTTGGACCAGAAGATGACCACTTTGTTGCAGAGTTGACCTATAATTATGGAGTGGGTGAATATCGCCTTGGCAATGACTTTCTGGTAAATGGCATTAATATAAATCATTTATAACTTGAAACCACACATAAAGTAGAATCTAAACATGTGAAACCATAAAATATATATACCGTAATGATGATTTTTGGACCAAATATCATATAAAATGTCAGATTCTACCAAATGTCTCGGCCACGAATGAAATGTACATAAATTTGTGACACTAATCATGTTGGATAACCTGATCATCATATTTTTCAGTTCAGCCTTGAATTGACATAACACATTTATTTATTATTTATATTTTTGTAATAAATTACAATAGAAGAATTTTCACAAGCAGTTTTAGATCTTTGGCTCCCACTGCATGTTTTCTATTGAATGGGATCCTATCTAAATAAAGCTGTGGTTCCCTGTGCTCTCCGATATTAGGGTCTGACTCTGCAGTCCAGTCAGGCTGTGAGTAATGCTAAGAGGTTAAACTGGCCTCTAACACAAGTCGAAGAGTCTCTCTACTTGACTGAAGCTCCGGGAGGATACCGCTTCTACCTTATAGACAAGGAACTGCCAAACTGTGGTGGGTATTTGCACTAATTGTGTGTTATAATAAGGATGTGAGAACTTCTTTTATGAAAAATGGAAGTTAATATATGTGTTAACTACTAAGTGTGCCATTGTATACTGACTCCTAACTGATTGTTTCTGGTCCTGGTAACAGATCCTGTCCAGAAAGTCTCTCTGGCAGTGTCTGATCTGCAACGTTCTGTTCATTATTGGTCTGCTCTGCTGGGAATGAAGGTTATTGAGAAAAATGAGGACAAAAAGATTGCCTTAATGGGATTCTCAGATAATCAGGTTTGGCTGAAAATAATACATTTATTATATTTTTGGCAATAATTAATTTATGAGGGCACCATGCCACTCACCAAGACCTAATGAATTCATGCTTTGGGTTTGGTTATCCTCTTTTTATAAAACTTACATCAGGCCCTTTACAGAAGAAAATTAATTTATACAAATGTATATTTACATTACTATATATTAGTGCTGTCAAATGATTAATCGCATCCCAAAATTTTTTTTTTGTTTACGTAATATATATGCGTGTACTGTGTATATTTATTATGTATATATAAATACACACACATTCACATATATATTTAAGAGAAATATGTTATGTTTATATATTAAATATATTTATATATAATATAAATCGCACGAATATAAATATACGTGTAAATATTTTAAAAATATATCCAGTATATGTGTGTATTTATATATATAATACAAATATACAGTACACACACACATATTATGTAAACAAATTTTTAAATTTTGGTTGCGATTAATTGTGCTTAATCATTTGACAGCACTACTATATATACATTTTTTGGAAAAATTTATGAAAAAATATTTCTGTTCTTTTGAACTTTCTGTACATCAAAGAATGCTTGGAAAGTTTACACAAAATATCAAGAGGTTTTCAACATTGATAATAATCAGAAATGTTTATGTTATGTTTATATATTAAATATATTTATATATAATATAAATTGCACGAATATAAATATACGTGTAAATATTTAAAAAATATATCCAGTATATGTGTGTATTTATATATATAATACAAATATACAGTACACACACACATATTATGTAAACAAATTTTTAAATTTTGGTTGCGATTAATCGTGCTTAATCATTTGACAGCACTACTATATATACATTTTTTGGAAAAATTTATGAAAAAATATTTCTGTTCTTTTGAACTTTCTGTACATCAAAGAATGCTTGGAAAGTTTACACAAAATATTAAGAGGTTTTCAACATTGATAATAATCAGAAATGTTTCCATATGTGACCCTAGACCACAAAACCAGTCATAAGGGTCAATTTTTCGAAATTGAGGTTTATACATAACCTGAAAGCTGAATAAATAAGCTTTCCATATAGGATAGGATAATATTTGGCCGAGATACAATTATTTGAAAATCTGGAATCTGAGGGTGCAAAAAAATCTAAATATTGAGAAAATCGCCTTTAAAGTTGTCCAAATGAAGTTCTTAGCGATGCGTATTACTAATCATAAATTAAGTTTTGATATATTTACAGTAGGAAATTTACAAAATATCTTCATGGAACATGATCTTTACTTAATATCCTAATGATTTTTGGCATAAAAGAAAAATCAATAATTTTGACCCATACAATGTATTTTTGGACTTTTCGACTTAAGACTGGTTTTGTGCTTCAGGGTCACATATTAGAATGATTTCTGAAGGATCATGTGACACTGAAGGCTGGAGTAATGATGCCGAAAATCATCATTCAGTTTTGTATAAATTACGTTTTCACATATATTAAAATAGAAAACAGTTGTTTTACATTAATGATAATATTTCACGATATTATTGTTTTTATTGTTGTATTTTCATCAAACGAATGCAGCCTTGGTGAGCATAAGAGACTTGTTTTAAAAACATTAAAAGATCTTACCGACCCCAAACTTTTGAGCGGTAGTTTATGTGTCGTTTCAATAGGTTATGTGCTTTTGTAGTGTAAGCTGGAGTTACAGGACATTGGAGGCGCTGTGGATCATGGAACTGCTTTTGGAAGGATCGCATTCGCTTGCCCTCGGGATCAGGTCAGCTATTCCAACATCAGCCAACAGTATCCATTCTACTTGGTGTCATTTTAAAGAAATGTCTTTGTTTTGCAGTTACCAGACATTGAAGCGCTAATGAAAAAAGAAAAGCAGAAAATCCTAACCCCTCTTGTGAGGCTGGACACTCCTGGAAAAGCCACGGTGGAAGTCGTCATTCTTGCAGATCCTGTGAGTCTTTATTGTCTAATGGTTCTGAGATTGATCCTGAGGGTTTTCTTGGCTAAGTCGGATCTCCACTTCATGTAGGATGGCCATGAGATCTGCTTTGTGGGCGATGAGGCATTCAGACAGCTTTCTGCTGTGGACCCAAAGGGGAATGATTTACTGGATGAGGTAATCAGTCTCACCACATTATATAGTATAAAGGAAATCCTGTCATCCACTTTCAAACCACATTCATGTGTTTTCTGTTTGGTTGCTTTCACAGGCCATGGCTGCAGATAAGAGTGACGAGTGGTTTGCCAAACACAACAAGCAGAAGGCTTCGGCATAAACACTGTCTGGCTTTTATTGAAACTGCTTGAAAAGATCCAGGATGTTCAGTCAACCAGATTTGTGTTATTATACATTTCAGTGGGTCGGAAATGATGATCGTTTTATTTCATGAAAATAACATTGACTTTATCAAGTACGCCTTAAAAACTGCATCGCTCTACTTTTGAACATGGTGAAAAATATGCATATTTGCGTAAATATAAAAAGTAAATCTTCATGATTATGTTGTTATTCTCTTGAAAGTGTAAATAGGTTTGATAAATAAAGAAGATAATCGGGAAGTGTAATGTTATAAATATTCAGTGGCTGTTAAAAGAAACATTTCCTGCCTTTGGTGCCATTCATAATTAATTGCAATTATTACTAGCTAGCATCATGGTATACAGTACACCAAAGTGCAGAAAAAGAAAGACGGAAAGGTTTCATTCTGCTGACCAGCAGAGATCAGTATTTTAATGCTTCTACATTATAGTACGAGTTATTATATGTAGATGTAATTTAAATAAGACAGGAACTGTGTGCTGTCTACTAGCCGACCAGGGGTTCTCAAACTGGGATCCGGGGACCTCCAGGGGGCTGCAAGGGAGTGCTAGGGGATCTGTGGAAAAGTTTAGAGACAAAAAAGAATTAACTAAATAAATTCAATTCAAATTGGCTTTGAATAAAGTCATAAACTAAAGAAAATTATTACATTTGCTTTAAATAAATAATAAATACATTTGATTTAAATCAATTGTTTACTAAACGCTTACCGAGTGTAGGACAGTGGTTCTTAACCAGGGGGCACAGAATGACTTAAAATTAAAAATGTTTTTTTAAAGAAATTAAAAGGCCAAAAATATTAATAAATAAATAATAATGAACACACAAAAACACAGAATCTTAAATCTTATATACTTACGAAATAAATCATGTTTTAATGTAATATATCAACACTCCGAATTTCTAAATGTAAAAAAGAATTCAATATAAATCTTTAAAAAAAAAAATTATTATTAAGCTGCATTGTCGTTGCACTGCAGAAATAACAGAGGAAGCAGCTTAACCAAAAAGCGTCCAGAACGGTTGAGAACCACTGCTGCAAGGTGACCTGTGGTCAGGTGACACTGTCTGAGATAAAGATGACTGTCAGCTGACTGTCCAAATCATCAAACTGCCCGTTTACATACTGTAATTTTTCATAGTTAAAATAAGACTGAGAAGTTTTCTATAAAGATGGGAAGACTCATTAAACCTTCGGGCCCCTTTAGTTTCAAAAATAAGTAGCAAGAATATATATTTTCTGTGCTCAGCTCATGGGACTTTTATTATAAAAAACACATCAATTTTCAAAAAGTTAGTATTTCTGCCTTCACACTTGAAACAACAGAGGAAAGCCCATTACTTAAATCCTAAATCAGAGTGAACTGTGGTTTGTCAGTTTAACAGCGGCTGTAATTATAATGTTGTGTGTTTAAGGAAGCGGATTAACATGATTAGCATGTCCGTTTATTGACAGAGAGCTGTCATGATCCAGCTGCTAGCGCAGTTAGCCTAGCATGAGACGGAGGGGCGCTGTACACCTAAAGATCCACTGGTCTGCATTACAAACCCTTTCAGGTGGGTAACCCGACTTAAAAGTTGCTAGTTACAGTCAACACCTTAATTAGAAAGTTAAATACTTCTTGCTTGGAGGTGCGCGGTAGTGTTTTGGCAGCTAACAGGCTAATGGTGCTTTGCTCAACAGTGCAAGTTTCCACCCAACAGTTGTTTGCAGTGCTAGAGTGGCACAACAACGAGACTGACGATCAAATGATTCCATTGTTTCGAGAGTAAAAATCTGTGCAGTATTATTGTTCTATTATTTATCGCACAAAGCTCTTGTAATTTGACTTGTAAAAATGATAATAATTGCAACCTATTCTGCTTCTGTGTCACTATTCAGTTAGTATTGTTTGTAACGAACACATTTTAAATACCTAATATTTCAGACGACATATTGCATACAGAAATGTAAATGCACTACTTTGGCTTCTTAACATGTTAATGCACTTGCATTCTCATTCCTTTTTTGTCTATTCAATGAATGTGTTCACTAATACCTAACATGTTTTGAGAGAATTCTTCAGGAATTAATGTGAGTGGCTGTTTGACAGCTGGTCTGAAGTCAGGTTTCTTCCAGGTGCCATGGTTGTAGGCTAAATGTGAAGGAGCATTTGCAGCACAATGTCTGCCCTGCTGATTGCCATCTCCGTATTTCTCATCTTGGCAGTTGTATTCATTTTGATCTTTAGGTAAGAAGCCATCATGCTTCAGTATGCACAGATATTGAAAATGCAAACCTATTAAATCTGCCCTCTTTGTGTTTTGTTAGATGGTTTGCTTGCAGTTTGGCTGTCCGTTTTTTCCATGATGTCCTGAATGCAGAGCTCAAGATCAGATCTGTGGGTCTTTTCTCAGTGCGAGGAATCAGTGTTCAGTTTCAGCCTCAACACACTCTGGTGGGTTTCGTTTTTGCATCAATAAAACATACGTCACAAACTGCATTTAATATCAGCTCTGTTATAGTCCTCATAACCCTGTAAAGTTTAACACATGAATTAATAGTCAAAACATCTATCTATCTATCTATCTATCTATTTGGAAGTGTTTATTGAACTTTTAGACAAAAATATTTTTAAAAAGTTTACATATGTAGTTTGTCGAGTATCATTTTTAATGCATCAGCCTTTTATGGCTCATGTAGTATGACATGGTGAGAATCTAGAGGTCATATTTGAGGAGGAAAAAACACCTTAATTTTATTCAGAGGCCCAAAAATATGAATTTGGTGCAATTGCTAATATTTATATGGGCAAAAAATGTATGAGGGATTTCTCGTAAACCAATGAAATCAGACTGCTTGCATATAATGCATGTATATATGACTTGTCACTCTTTATCTTTCAAATTTTTTGTCTTAGTAAGATGATATTTAAATGCTAAGTTTTATAATCAAAGCTCTGTAGTTTTTATTGTGGGGTGCAAAAAATATAATGCAGTGCAGTGCAACGATGGACAAATAAATGCTCCTCAAAAGCCTGATGTTTCATATTTGATGCTTACATTTTAAAGTTATTTTTAAGTAATAAATGGATAATTAAGTAAAGCTAAGTTGCTTCAGTCCAGTAAATGTTCATCTTAAAATATGTCTAATTATAAAAGTTATTCTTACGTTTTCTTTATAAAAATCAGTAAAGATTTCACTGTGAAACGCCACTAAGTTACCTGAAGACGGGCTTTTTTTTCTCTTTTTTTTTAACAATCCTACTAAAAGGCCTTTTACTTGCTAAAAAGTATAAACTATCAGTCAGATTACAGAAGGCATGTAGTAGATTATGTACAACAGGTGGGTCATGTTGATAATATAAAGGCATAATAAATAGAAATTTGCATATCAAACATGATGCAGTAGACTGTGTGTAGTTAAGAGTTGCAACTGGTGTGGTGCCGTGATGTTTAATATGTATTCTAGCACTATAAAGCCTTTTTCTGTTTTGTAGGAAATTGACAGGATATGGATTTCTTGCAAAATACTTAACCCGGACTTGCCGTAAGTATAATTATAAGACATAGTTAGTGTAAATATTGTCTGTTGATGATCGGTCATTGTGATTATGTTGTATTTGTTAGGAGGTTTTTGGCGTTGTGTGTGGGTGAGGCTCGGGTCCGCTTTGACCTACAGGAGCCATTTAGGCCCCGGGCTCCTAAAAGCAATGAGCAGAATTCCAAAATACCTCCTCTGAGTCCCTCTACCCTGCACCTCCTCTCTCAGGTAATCAACCTGACTGTTGTTTTGGAGAATCCCAGGTTCAGTACAAGTTAAGCTCAATGCAACGCATGCTGTTGATTACCACAGAAGAGCAATATATATTGTTCTGAAGAAAAGAAAATGACCTACAGGAGCCATTTAGGCCCCGGGCTCCTAAAAGCAATGAGCAGAATTCCAAAAGACCTCCTCTGAGTCCCTCTACCCTGCACCTCCTCTCTCAGGTAATCAACCTGACTGTTGTTTTGGAGAATCCCAGGTTCAGTACAAGTTAAGCTCAATGCAACGCATGCTGTTGATTACCACAGAAGAGCAATATATATTGTTCTGAAGAAAAGAAAGGGGTGTTATAGTAATGCACTTGCAATGAAATTCAAAGGGGCAAGACAGAAAGCCCATGCTATTTCAAAATGATACTCCTTAATGTTCACTTACTCAGTTGGCCTGTGTAAAATTATATCCTACCTTTTATCTCATAATTTTATATGAAAGAATGGACTTTCACTGCAAGTTCAATACTGTGACTACAATTGTACAGTTCCTTTAAAGGAGACCTATTATGCGCCTTTTTTTACAATATGTAATATAAGCCTCTGGTGTCCCCAGAATGTGTCTGTGAAGTTTCAGCTCAAAATACTCCACAGATCATTTATTATATCATTTTGAAAATGCCTATTTTGAGTGGAAGCAGAAACACGCTGTTTTTCAGGCCTGTCTCTTTAAATGTAAATGAGCAGCTGCTCCCCGCCCCCTTTTCCAGAATAGAGCTGCGCCATTACAGCTCTGAGGTTCTACACGTTCTGATTATCATGTTTATCACGCTGAAATCATGCGTTTTAAACCATATGAGTTTAAACTTCTGATATACAGTTTTTTGAGAGCACACAACCGAAGCACACAGACAGAAAGCGGCTGTCACAGCATGTGAGTACTAAAGTAAGTTCTCATTCACACACAAGTTTACGTTAAAAACACACGAGTTACAAAAACAGTCAGTTATGTCTGTGAAGGTAAACGGCTAGGAAATAAATCGCATTTTTATTTTAGATCTGTGTGACCGCAGCAATATACAGTAAATAAATCAATAAATCCACTGCTGTCTTGTCTCCTCTGAGGCTGGGACTGTAACCAGTGTTCTGTGCTCATCTGTGCAGCCAAAGACTGAACAGTTAGCATGTTTTGCTCAAACGTTTGCCATGGCATTAGAACTAGTACACTGTTGTCACAATACACAATAACTGCGCCGTGGGTGGAAACTTACAGATTAAGGGGCGGTAATATTATAATGAGATCCCTTTGCCACGTCACCAAGGGAGCGAAATCTGACGCGCTCGTTTTTTTCAGACGCTTACAGAAAAAGGCTTACCAAAACAAAGTTACTGGGTTAATCTTTTTCACATTTCCTT